TCCACAACCTTTCCAGTATTTGTTGTTTGTTGATTTCTGTATGAAAGCCATTCTAACAAGAGTGAGATGAAACTTCATTGTGGTTTTGATTTGCATTTCCCTGATGGCATTTTTTCATGTGCCTATTGGCTATTTGGATTTCCTCTTTTGAAAAATGGTGGTTTAAGTCCTTTGCCCATTTCTTAACTGGGTTGTCTTGTTGTTGTTGAGTTTCTTGATCTTTTCATATATTCTGTTTATTAATCCTTTATCACGTGCATAGTTTGCAAATAATTCCTCCCATTCTGTTGGTTGCCTCTTCACTTTTCTGAGTGTTTCTTTTATAGTACAGAGCATTCTCAATTTGATGTAATCCCATTTGTTCATTTTGGGTTTGATTGTTTATTTCTCTGGGGTCTTTTCTGAGAAGTTTTTGCCTATGCCAATGTCTTGCAGGCTTTCCCAAAGTTCTCTAGTAACTTGATGGTATTGGATCGTAGACTTAGGTCTTTTTTTTCAGATTTATTTATTACTTATTTGAAAGGCAGAGGTACAGTGAGGCAGAGGCAGAGAGAGAGAGAGAGAGAGAGAGAGAGAGATGGCCACAATGGCTGGAGCTGTGCTAATTTGAAGCCAGGAGCCAGGAGTTTCTTCCAGGTTTCCCACACAGGTGCAGGGGCCCAAGGAGTTGGGTCATCTTCTACTGCCTTCCCAGGCCATAGCAGAGAGCTGGATAGGAAGTGGAGCAGCCAGGTCTTGAACCAGCACCCATATGGAATGCTGGCACTGCAGGCGGCAGCTTTACACACTATGCCACAGTGCCAGGCCCATATTTAGGGCCATATTTAATCCATTCTGAGTGCCTGTTGAATGAATAAAAATAATCCAGTGTCATTTGTTTGGATTTTCAGGAGATGGCAGATAATGGGGTTACCATAAGAAGTCCTACATTGCCTTACATTTCCTAAGAGGAAAGTCTAAAGCAGTGGTTCTCAAAACACAGCCCCTCATGCTGCAGCATCTCTGCCAGTTGGGAACTTGCTAGAAATACCAAGTCTCAGGCCAGACCTAGTGAATCAAATCCTGGGGTACAGTCCATAAATTTGCATTTCAATGAGCCATGATTCGAATTCTGCTACTTGCAAAAATTTGAGAACCACTGACCGAGGTCTTCCTGACAGAATTGGGTTTTCAGGTGGACATTTATACTTTGTCCTTGAAGCCAAAAGTTGGACACCCTTTCAACCCAGTTAATCTGACTAATTTGGCAGAAAACTCCAATTTATCCTCCCTGCTTCCCAATGGGGTGAGTATTTGGGTTTGAATGGCCAGGTAATTGCTCCAATTAGGCAATTCATTTTGCTTAGGTAGGCCCTGCTGGAGGCAACACCCATTCACAGCAGCCTAAATGTGTTGTCTACTCTTTTGCTCAAAATGGAGCCAGCTAGATACCTGCTGAAGAGAGCAAAAGAGACACTGAGAGGACACAGCCCATATCTGCATCTACTCAGACCAACTGGCAGGTTTCTTTCTTTCACACCCTGGTTCCTATGATTTTATGCTACTGATATCTGACTCAGGAGTGGCAAAAACACTGGGATACACTGTCAAGTACATTAGGAAGCATCTACCCATATAGAACCATAGTAGAAGGGAATTAACTCACTGGGATAAATTCTTTTTGCTTATCCTCACATTTCCTGGCAAGTGCAGTTTTGCATGGGTATGGGCTGAAATTGCACCTTATGAACATTGTTGCCCTCCTATACACAGGGGCACGCTTTATTTCTGAAACCTTGAAACAGGAATTTTGAGGCAAGTAATTACAAGCATCCTAGTCAGTAATAAGAAGTAATCAGATTACTTACAAGGATTAAGCACTTGGAAAATGAAAAGAATGCTTACAGAGTTACGTGGAAAGTATTTTCTTTTTCATCAAATTGTGCCCCAAATCAGAAACTTAATTTTTTTTAGTCATGCTCAAGTATTACTTCCCGTGAGATATTTGAAACCTGGTGCCAATAACTTTTTATTTGCTTTTAAGACAAAATTGATTCACCTGATAGAGCCTTCCATCCTCCAGAGTTGGAAGGCTTAGTCGAAGAAATGTCTGAAGAAAATTTCATTTCTCAGTACTTATATCTGAGCTTGTTTGGAAGTGACAGTAATGGCATTGCAAAGTATTGAAGCAGTGCTCTCGGAAGCCAATGCATGGGCAGGAGCAGTGTGAAAATATCCTGCAAATCTGTCAGGCATCGTCCAGCTCCTGAAGGTAACAGAGTGTTTTTCATACCACAGCCTTTGTTCTGTGAATTTAGTTGGGAAGAGGTTCCCAATGGAACACTCTGAGTAAACAGATTTACTTTTAGCTCCTCATGGTTAGAATATTTGGAAGCTACAGAAAATTCAGGGAATACTAGGTTTTAATTATTCTATATTTTTGTATTATCTGCGATAGTTAACAACAACAAAAAAAAGTTCTGATGACCTGGAACTAATTCACTCAATAACAGCTTTTATAGAAAAAAGACCATGACTATTATTGGTTTATTAGCTATGTATTTACTTGTACAAGCGTAAACCCATTGTGCAAACAGTCTTGAGAGCTCGTGATGTTCCAGAAGCAGAGAGCCTAGAGGTTAACATGACATAGCTCCTACATCAGGCAGCTTGCATCCTACTCTAGTTACATTCACTCACCAGTGCAGGACCTGGAAGACGAGTCAATAGTGTCAGCTTCTAGTCAGGGTAATATATACATTTATTTCTTTTTCAGAGTGACTGTCCTTTTTAGGGTATCTCTAAGTCCCCAACCTGCTTTGATAACTGTACAGAAAAAAGAAAACCAATTTTCAAAAAAGTGAACTACTATTTGAAAAACATTTCCCAATCAGCTACTAGTATTTCAAATCTGTCTCTGCTCTATATGGTACTGAGGATCCAATCTGGTTCCTGAAGAATCCCAGGTTGTTGGTTTTTTCCAAATAATATTTTCTCTTGAGCACCTGGTTTCCTCTGAGAATAGGAACAGCTGCTGATGGGAAATTACTCAGCACAAACCATTCCCTTATTCTAAGTGAAATAGAAACAGTCCTTCTCAGAATGGACTTAGGCAGCTTTTTATTATTTTTTTCTTTTTTATTTACTTATTGTCATGGTATATGCCAAAGCAAAAAGGAGATGACATCTCCTCTACCTCTTCTGTAGCATGGTGTACATTTTGCAGTTAAATTTGCATTTTCCATGCAATTGATTAATTTAAAGTAGTAATGCTTAGTCTGAATAATACTTCCATCCTAAATACAAGAAGTATAACATAAGAAGTTCTTTCATTAGTAAGAGTTGATAGTTATCTTTCCTAAGTCTGTCTTTTCACAATGCCAGTTCCTAATTTGATTTGACATTTTTGGTGGTACCTGTTGAAATCAGAAACACCGTCAGCAGTAATCTTGAAGAAAAATTTGTCACTCAAAAGTCCTAGCTTCTGAATGGAGCCAGTTTGAAATGATGGCCATGATCTTGGGACTCTAACCCATCCTGGCTGCTGTGACTGACTCTGGATTTATCTCTCAGCCAGGTGCATCCCAGCATTGGAGGTCTCTGACCTGCAACAGGGATACACAAGGACTCTCCCAGTAGGTAAAAGCCAGGAGCAAAGAAAGAGAAAAAGTAAGAGACATTTTCCAGTATCAAAATGTGAGTTTTAGAGCTTTCTTTTATGCTAAATCAATAATCTCATACATCTAGCTAGCTTTTCCTAGAAGACTTAGCTTCATTAATCATTCTAATTCTTATGTGCTAGACACAGTGCTGAACATGGGGACTGGTACAAGGTTGCTCTGGTCATGATCCTTGCTCTCATTATGTGTCACTTTAGTTGTGTTATCTGTTATATTTTCAGCAAATTCCTGTAATTGTGAAGGACACTGTTTAATACCCTAGAGAAAGGGGCATATGATGAGATATTTTGAAATTTATGGAAAGTGAGAAATTACTTCATGCTGACATGGAAAAATTTATAAAAGATGTGCAATTGTGTTAAATACTGAAGGATTGGAGGGAAATCAGATGGTTGAGCAGAATGACTTGGTCATCTCAAAAGACATATAAGGGAAGTGATTTAGAGGGCGGAAATGCACAAAACCAACCCAAGGGATAATGAGAGTGCTGGGTTAGAGCTTTTCTGTGAGAACTCTGGTGCAAAGTAAGAATTTGGAGGCCAAATTTTATAAGCCCTGTAATGCTATGTCACAGGATCTGAACATCATGCTAAGAGACCAGGGGATGTTTAGTTGATAAATGCAAAAGGAAGACAGTGTTATTGGTAACTAATGATGGGGGCATGGACTCTGCCTTGAAACTGATAACAGCAACTAGTGCAATGGCCAAGGGAAAGATTGGGAACCCGTGGATCTGGGCTTTAGATTCAAGTCATCCATTTCTTAAACCTGAGTTTCAGGTTTGAATGGTAATAGTTATCCTCCAGTAAAGACTGCTAAGAACTTATTCTACTAGGCACTGTCTTAGGCACTAGGGTGTAGAGTTGAGCAAAAGTGACAAAACCCATACTCTGAGCTCTAATTCCTCATGCATACAGGAGAATTGGGAGAATTATATGAGGTAATGCATGTCCAGTGCCTGGCACATGGCCTATGCTCATTAGATGGTGACTAGAATCTTCACTATAATAATAATAATAATAATAATAATAATAAGGTAATGAAATAGAAAATGTGCACCTACATACTTTGCTGGAACCATTCATTTTTGTAGAACAAGCATGGGTTTACATTTCAGAATATAGCTTCCATCCCACGGATCTTTGGCAAGGAATCCTCTATCATTTTGTTCTAATTTGCTTGGGCTTCAGTAACTTGAAATTTTCAGTGCCTGTGTGGGCTTAGCATGCTTGTCATAGACCAGTGAGTTAGATGCTAGTGATCCAGGAGCAGTCTCCCCTTTCCCAGATGCAAGGATCACAAGAGGCATCTCTGCCACAGATAACCCCTCAGCCAGAACCAAAAAGCCTTTCCTATCCTCAGCCAGTCCCCCCTGGTTTTCATCTGATAAGACATTAGGAACTTGAGTTATCCCCTAAACAGCTTGGTGCTCAGCTCAACTGTGATAAAGCAAAATGTACCCTTGAAGGATTTGTTCACAGTCTGAGTACCTAAAATTCTTATCACCAGATGGTTGACCAAAAGAACAAACGGTTTGATTTCTTTAATACTCTCTAAAGCAATGCCAGGCAAAGCACTGAAGCACATTTTATTTTTATTATACATTAGCAACTCTATAATCTGACTTAGAGTCTGCCACCAGTTAGTTATTCAACAGTATTTATTGACTATCCATTATATGCAGATTGCTTGCTAGATGTCAGGGTTGAAAGTCTGGAACTAGCATCCATTCTCTTCAGTGTTGGGCCTCAAAGGAAATATCACTAGAGAGGAAGACAGACAATAATTGTAGCCCTGGCTGTGACATGTGATTCTAAACAATGTATTTAAACTCACCATGAAATCAGAATAATATAAGAACAGCTAAAATTTGTTGTTACTATATTCTTGACAATGTAGCAACTGCTTTACATGCATGATGATTTTATCTTATTCTCATAGCAACCCAACAAAGTTCATTTTGTCATATTATTATTATTATTCATTTTTAGTCATAAGTGAGGTTTGGAATTCCATCTTTACCCTACCAATAGTGGGAAAACCAAATTTGAAACTACCTCTATCCTAATCCAGAGACTGGAGCCTTAGCCTCCATTTCCCAGGGTTGTTATGAACACACACACACACACACACACACACTTACAGCCTGCATCAAATGTAGAGTGTTCTTTCTTCTACAGTAAAATTTTTGAAATAATCGGTGATATCTGGTTCTTATTTGTTTTAGTCATGCTAAGCATGATAAAATCATGCAGTATTTGTTGGATAAAACATGTGAATACTTGTGCTACCTTATTATCGGACATACTGCCATATCTGATTAGTTTATATGTCTACTGATATTCCCAAAACATTGCTATTTAAAGAATGAGAGTTTTATATTATTTATATATTGAAATAAAGCTCCCCTAGCTCTAAATTTTGCTCTAAATTGTTTCACAATTTTGAGTAGGCACACACATACACACACATACACAGCCATACTTATATATGACTAAATAGTCATTATTAGGAATCTGTAGTCTATTCAGTTGAGAATCTACCTGCTATTCTGTCAAGCAGAGTGAAGTAGGAGGAGAACACAAAAATACCATGAGAGTATCAGACAAACAATGCTCCTTTGTGGGAAATAAATAAAGTCATCCCAGAGCACTTATTTTTAGGTTGATTTTGAAGGAAAATAAAGTGGATACCTGTGACTGTCCTACTAGGATATGATACCAACTCAGCCCCTTGGATTTCTTCTCTTTTATTTCTGTTTATCTCCTAATGTTGCAAGACTAACAATAAAATATTTCTTTTAAACAACATGTACTTTTTTTTGTTTCAGTTTTAGAATATGGAGGTGTAGACCTAGGGTAAACAAGACATTGAATTGGACATCTCTTTTGCCCCACATCAGGCACACCTGCCCTATTTCTGGATGTCACTGGGCACCAGCTCTTCCTACTTCAAGCAGACCCAGATGGACAGTCCCTTGCTTCAGGTCAGTGGTCAAGGACTGCTCATGGTGTCTGTGCACGTGGCACTCAAAAGGGCAGAGAATTAGCACCACGTGAGTGAATTTATGTTCAACAGGAGATGGGTACATACGGATAAAATCCCTTCCATCCATCTTCCTCTGTGTGATCTTGTGATTCTGATTTTACAGCTTATTGGACAGTCCTGTGGCTTTCCTGTATTTTTTCTCCTTCCTTCCCTGTGTCTTTCCCTTTGTTCTCCATTTTTACAAAAAATATGTATGTATGTATTTTATCTGAAAAAGATAGCAAAAGAGAGACAGAGATAGAGAAATGGAGAGACATCTTTCATCAACTGGTTCACTCACCAAATGGCCACAACAGCCCAGGACTGGGCAAAGCCAAAACCAGGAGACAGGAGCTTGATAGCTCAAAAGCTTTGGTCCCTGCCACCCACATGGGGGCTCTAGATCGAATTCCTGGCTTCAGGCTGGCCAACCCTGGCTTTCATGGGCATTTGGAGAGTTAACCAGTGGATGGGAGATATCTCTCTGTGCCTTTCAAATAAAAGCAAACATACATACATCCAAACATACTTGAAAAAATGAAATGTGTGAGTATGTATTGATCTATTTGCTGTAGTACCCTGAAGCCATAAACATTGCATTCCTAAAGAATATCTAATGAAATTATCTGGGTTAATGCCTACAATACTAAGGGTAAATAAAAAGTAGGATATCTATTTTCTGTGATCTCACTTTGTGTATTATATACATTATATTTACCCATATATAAGAGCAATAGTCAAGAAAAACAGTAAATGTCAACTATAGTTATCTCTGGGTGAAGATGTTATAGGTGGTTGTACTCTGTGCCTTTCCACAATTTCCTACAGAAAATTATCAATTGTCTATGATAATGCTCTACTCTTAAAATTGGAGGTGGGCAATGACAAGGTACTCCAGTGTCCCACATTGGAAGACCTTGCTTTAGTACCTGGTTCCAGCTCTGGATCTTGACTCCAGCTTTTTGCTAAGCAGATCCTCATGTAATTAGGTCCCTGCCACTTAGGAGGAATACCTAGTTTGAATTCCTGTCTCTTGGTTTCAGCTCAAGCCAGTCCTGATTGTTGCAGACATCTGGGGAGTGAACTAGTGAATGGGAGCTACCTCTCTGTCTTCCTCTCTCTCTCATTTCTCTCTCTCTCTCTCTCTCTGCATCTCAAATAAATAAATAAACAAACTTAAGCATAAATAAAATTAGAGACAAATGTCCTAGCTATTAAGAATGAACCTAAAGAGTCATTTATTCCTCCTTTTAATTTTTACTTCCATAATAGCAAATGTATGCATCTGCCTGATGGAACACAATGGCAGTCAGAGCCTTGCATTTATACAGGTGTAGGATTTGTGATATAATTCAATTACCACTAGAAGCTCAGGGATGGCTTCACACTTAGATGTGTGGGAGATGCTATGTCAGTGAGGCTGAGTGTAGATTCTCTAGAGGGAGGATGAGATGGATGACAGTAATGATGGGGATGGGTAGAGCACTGAGTGCGTGCTTTCAGCATTAAGGTGTTGGCAGAGCATAGAGAGAAACATGGTCTCCAGCTTCAGACTTTGTTCACATTCCTATAAGGAATCCTGACAGCCCTTGATATTACCATCCATTCGTGATGATTGATAAGGAGAAATGAATACAGAAACATCTTTGATATACCCTAGCATTGCAGTTCCTTTACATATGGGTAAATTATGTGGCTGTCCCTGCCAGGCAGTAAGATTTGCCAACCCAAATATTTGTTACAGATACCTGAAATTCTGTTATTACTTTGTTGTGTTAGATTAAACAATACCTACCACCAAGTTAGGCAGAAGCTCTCAATGTGTTTCTGGGAAGATACTATATTATACCATCATCAGTCCTTATCATTTAACCTGAATATCAGCTTTTCCCTTCTTAGACAACAAATTAAGGGCAAGTAGAAAAGAGGAGAAGTACTGAAAGAAGAGTTTTGACATTAAATCATAACATACCATATATTTGATATTAACATTAGGGTTATATATAAAGGTTGTGTGTGTGTTATGTTAGGATATAGATAAGTATATTATCTATCTTAGAGCTATCAGTACAAATCCATATGAAGATTACTCCCAAATCTTTACCTTTCACTGTATTTGCTTCCCATGACTTGTGATTTTACAGTTGTTCCCTTTAAATCTTGAGCTTAACCTTGACCAACTATGTGTGAGCAAACATAATATCCCTTGTTATTTCCATTTGCTCTCTTGCTCCTTTGCCATTGTCATGAGAAGAACACACCCTGGATTTGTCTGTGATGAGGAGGGTGGAAGACACAGCAGAACCTATCCTGATAAGCCCAGATTGCATCAGTTGGCCCTCAATTGACCCTTAGATGCATGAACAGTAATAAATGATTGTTGCTTTAAACCACCAAGTGTGGAATGATGAATTAAAGAGCATTTCCTGGTACAATGCGCTTTCTGTTTCCACAAACTAAATCTGTTGTATTATAACTCAAATAACTTTGAAGTCCTTGTGAGTAGAAACCATTTGTTTCTCCTGCAAAATGTCTGGCTTGAGATATGTGATAATATTTTTTGAATGAATGGTTCTTCACAGTAGTTCTCAAACTACCCTTTCAGCTTTAACTCAATATTACGTGTTGAACTGTGACTGCCCTCTCCCTGGACAAGATCTGTTGAAATGCTAGGCTCCAGTACCTCAGAGTGTAAACATATTTGGAAATAGGATCTTCAAAATGAGGTTATTAGGGTGGGTTCTGATCTAATGTGAATGACTTGGTTTCCTCCTTAATAAGGAAAGGGATGGGTGTTTGTCAGTGGCTAAGGCCCTGATTGGGATGACCACATCTCACATTGGAATGCCCGAGTTCAGATCCTACCTCTGACTCCTGACTCCAGCTTCTTCCTAATGCAGTTAAGACACAGGTTAAGGTGTGGGCATCATGGAGTTTGGCATCCCTGCATCCTGTATATTCCACTTGCTTACTCTGTGACCTTGGGCAAGTCTGTTAACTTCTCTGAGACTTCCTTTTCTCGCTGATAAAAATGGAGGTAGGATTTCTGCTTTGTAAGACTGTGTTAAGGATCAAATGATACACACTACCTGAAAATAGTAATATCAGAAGATATTACTAAATGCCAGCTTCTAGACTTTAAACCCAATAAATTAGTAATTCAATGTAGAATGGAAATATTACCTTTTTTGAAACCCAAGTGATTAGAATATTCTGATCTTCATGTCAAATTGATTTATTGTGTAGAAATGACTGTAAAATATGTGAAAATGATTAAGGAAGTGAAAAAATTGGTACAAACTTACACCTCCAAAGAATTTATGTCGAATCTAACACTTTAGATGGTTATATAGTGAGATGAAAAGCCTGCAGAAATCAGGGTTAAAATGAACGTGGACAGATCCTTAAGCAATAAAAGGGATTTTTTATTATAATGAAGTAAGTACAATAACTCCTAGTTAAATTTTATCAGGATTCATAGCCTTTGAACTGTTTGATACAAATCACAGTATGGTATTTGGATTCAGGAAAGAATGTAAATAATCTATTTATAAATGACAAAAATTTTGTGGGCTCCTATTATAACTGCCACCTCCTATTAGGAAATGCATCTTTCTGAGAATATTCACATCAACCTTCCTTTTGTCTTTAGAACTGTTTTGATTTTGATTATTTTCATTTGATCAGAAATAAATTCTCATTCCTGAAAATTGTGGTTCATGAAACCACATTCAAA